CTAGATACCATGGGCTGACCAAAGATGCATATTTAATGTTGTTTCCTGAGCATTCAGAAGCTGTCAGGAATTAGTAGATTAAGTAGAATTACTTAAGTAATTACTTAAGTCATTGTAATACTTTGTAGACTATGAAACATTTCAGGTCCTATGGAATTTAGGGATGAAGGAAGTTATATTTATTTGAGAAGTCTGGAGAAAACCACAGGCAAAAGTTGCTTTGTGGCTCACAACATCAAGTTTTAAAAGGCAGGATACAATACTGTATTCCATTTTCTCCCAGTTTTGTTACATCTGTAGTAAAAAGAAAATGTTAATTTTATGAAGAAAAAAAAAAAAGACACACTCACATAGTACCTCCTAATAGAATTATGACTGATAGCTTTTACTTTTTCATTACCTATTCAACATTTCTTAGGTGAGCTGTTTATTCCCTTTTTTTTGGCTTAAAACGCCCATGCTGTGTGTCCATCAAGAGCAGTTGCTTGGGGACTTACGTGGCTGTTTCCATGATTTTGCAGAGACATGGAAAATGGTGCTGGAGCTACATGCTGGTCCTAAAGCTTCTGCCCAGACCCAATCCACATTTTTTGGGGTTTTTTTTTTGTTTGTTTGTTTTTTTCCTGCTCATATTTAATGGCCAACATCCAGGCTTTCCCCGAATAAAGTTAGGTGGAGAAGTGTTTTCTTAATCACATGCCCAGAACAAGACAACCAAATATTTGTGACTTCTTTTTTTTTTTTTAAACATTTTATTTATTTATTTGAGAGAGAGAGAGACAGTGAGAGAGAGCATGAGCGAGGAGAAGGCCAGAGGGAGAAGCAGACTCCCCGTGGAGCCGGGATCCCGATGCGGGACTCGATCCCGGGACTCCAGGATCATGACCTGAGCCGAAGGCAGTCGCCCAACCAACTGAGCCACCCAGGCGCCCCATATTTGTGACTTCTTAATGATGACCCTGTTGCTAGAAAAATTGCTGAGATCCTTGTTTTTGTTCCTCTCTCCATGGGAAACACATCAGGCCACTGACCTCTTTTGTTAGTTCCCTATCACTTTCTTGCCTCTCCCATTTTCCAAGGAATACAGGCTAGACACAGAACAAAAACCAAAGCTCTTAGTGTAAGAAGTTTAAGGCTGGGTTAGAGAGGATGCTTGTCGTGGTCAGGTCAGAAACGCCAACTAGTGTGAGTGCAAAGGGGAACTGATGGACTCCGAGGTGAGGAGGATAAGGAGTAGCCCCCAAGACTGTGAGAGCCAAAGTCTCAGGGAGTAGAACCAGGACTTTACACATGCCATGTTTCCTTTCCTCTCTGTGTTTGTCTCTCATCCGTTTGCTTTGCCTTACTTCATTCTCTTTCACCTAAAGTCAGCTCTTCTCCGCATGGGGGAAATGTAGCCACGGGCAGCCTGACCTTCACATCTCTCTAGCTCTGGGATGCCAGACACAAGGCCACTGGTTCTTTTTTTTTTTTTTAATGTATTTATTTTAAGAGGGAGGGAAAGGGTGTGTGTGAGAGTGGGAGTGGGGCAGGGAGGGGCAAAGGGAAAGAGAGAGTCTTAAGAAGGCTCCATGTTGGGGGCTCGATGCCCTGGCCCTGAGATTAGAACCTGAGCTGAAATCAAGAGTTGGACGCGTAACTGACCAAGCCACCCAGGCGTCCCAAAGCTACTGGTTCTTTAGCTCCACACGGAGACCTCTCCAGGAAGGCCTCTAATTGGCCCACCTTGTATCACCTGCCCACCTTGGACCAATGATTGTGTCCAGGGATACGATACCATGATCGGCCAGGCCTGGGTCACATGCCCATCTAGGGAGGACAAGATAAAAATTATCAGAATGAGGGGACTGGTGAACATGGTTGGACAAATATAAATAGCTACTCTAGTCTCCTTAGAATTAGATAAGGCAAGGTCAGTCTTTTAAAACTGTAAATATTGTAAATCCAATCACGTTACCCACCCCTGACCCATCTACCAACGAGAACTCTCTACTTCCCATGGCACTTAAAGTAAGATCCAAATCAGTTCTTTGAATTTTCAGTGGTCCACTTCCTCTGTCTTCTCCTTACCTTTCAAATTATTTTGCCTTCTCTTCTGACTCACCAGCAAGGCATCAGTTAGCTTGCTACAAGGGCCTAGAGTTTTACAGCACACAGGTTAAGGAGCCTGGCTAAACGAAACCCTATCTCCCTAGGTTCCCCTTGAACCCCGTGTTTTAGTACTATCTCACTAACTTAATCACATTACCTCATTCGCAAGGATTCCCAAGGAATTCTCCTCTATGTATAAAATCCACATGAAAAATATTAAAGGAAATTTAAATCCAGTGTTTAAAAAATGTCACATGGGAAAGCCCCAACTCTACAAATCAGTTTCACAGTCAGGTCTTTATTCTGCAGTATATAATCTTAACTGTAAAATACAGTAAAAGCAAAATGGATTCCTGTTGTTCACACACTTTAAAATAGCTCTTTGTTTACCGTAGAGGCGAAGCAATTTGGGAGAGGACTTAGAGGAAGGTCTCCAAAGGGTGCTGTTCAGATACTACAAATTCTGAGCTTATAGCTGCAGCCTATTGAAGATAATCGAGTTTATGTTGTTTGCCACTTAACGTGTGCAAATACAAGAAAGTTAAATGTATTTGTTCTGGGGTTCCTCAAAATTGCATTGCCTGATTTGATTCCTCCAGGGGGAAAATGTTAAAGAGACTTAAGTTTATGGAGATTTTGAATAAAAAGAAAGGCACTCCATGTTTGGGTCTTTCTGCTGTGGAGGCAGTTATAGACAGCCGTATGTTTACTTTGTAAATTGCAGTTTAGGGAGCAACATAAGCTGTTTCCAGTTTGGGTGGAAGTTGTGTCAGACCTCACAGATGAGATGTGTACTCTGTTAGGAGTTTGCCAGATTTTTTGCAGGGGCTGTGGGCAGGTCCATGGTAATTAAGGAGAGTCTACTGCTAATTTGTTTTCTTAAGAGTAAATCCTGAACAGCTCCTCCTTGCAAGAGAAAGAATGATGGAATTAGAATATCATCATTTGGTGATGACTGTAGTATTAACTGTTTTGGGCAAGAATCACCGAGGGATAGGATGCTAAAATTAGCTGACGAGACTCTGAGAAACAGGATATTTATGTAGTCTCAAAACATCTCTCCACAAGATATTTCTTAAATGCAAGGGGGAGTAAGAAGGGAAAGGCACTTTGTAGTTCCTAATGAGACAGCATCTTACTCAAGGGCTTCCTACTTTCCAGGGTGGGGGTGGTGAGAGGATGGAGGGTGGGGAGAGGCACACAGGGGCTGTCTGGAGACTATGCCCTTCTCCTGTGGCTCTCTCATCTGCCAGCTTGTGAGTGGAAAGTCCTTCTCTTCCCACACTCCTCAGGGTCACTCCCTCTTCTCGAAAAGCCAGTGCCACCTTCTGTACTCAGGATTAAATTCTATTCTGGTTATGTTTGTTGGTTCATTTATTGACGGTCTGCTGTGTGCCAGCTCCAGGGGATTCAGCTTTAAATAAGACAAGCCCTTGATCTTGAGGATCTTCCTGCCACTGCTAGATGAAAATACCAAATAAACTATTGTAGCCCTTTGGATCTGTTGAGGTATGCATGAGATGCACAGGAGTATACAAGGGGCAGTAGGGCCCTTAAATGATTGAAAATACTTTGGGGGCACCCGGGTGGCTCATTGGATTAAGCCTCTGCCTTCGGCTTGGGTCATGATCTCAGGGTCCTGGGATTGAGCCCCGCATCAGGCCTTCTGCTTGGCGGGGAGCCTGCTTCCCCAACACAGCCGCCTGCCTCCCTGCCTACTTGTGATCTCTGTCTGTCAAATAAATAAATAAAATCTTTTTTAAAAATTAAAAATGGAGCACTGGGTGTGGTGCATAAATAATAAATTCTGGAACACTGAAATTTTTTAAAAATTAAAAAAAACAAAACTTTGATATTGATTGGTAAAAAGCCACACCCTGGACCCCTGGCCACTTCCCTGGGATACTCTTCACTGACAGACCTCAAGAGAATAATTAAAAGATTAAACCCCAAATAGCAGAGGCCTCTAAGAATGCTTTTACATTTTCCCACTCCTTTTGATTGCCTAATCCTGCATGAGAGGTCAAACAAGGCTTTCTGGAAGAGGCAATGTGTGTGTCGAGAATGAACACAGGTAAAGCACAGCATCTATTCAGACCCCCGGATCAGGGAGAGAACATGTCACATGGGAGAGACCAGGGTTCACTGAGTGGAACAGCTCATCTGATGGGGGGAAGGGTGGTGAGAAATGGCTTCAAGAGGTAGGTTAAGGCCAGATCAGAAAGAGCCTTGTCTGCCCTTCTAAGACACCTGAACTTGATTGGACAAGCTAGAAAATGCTTCTGAAGATGAGAAGCAGCACAATTCGATTTCTGTTTCAGAAAACCAGCTGTGGTGTAAGTGAAGGAAAGGGATTGAAGGGGAATAAAACAAACAAAAACGCTGTTAACCGACTGCGGAAGTAATTCAGGCAGGAGATGAGCACCTTTTCTAAAGCAGAACCAGTACGGAAATAGAGAAATAGTTGCAATCCAAAAACATTAAAAAGGTAGAATCGATAGGGCTTTGTGATTGGATTGGAGTGATGAGCTACCTGTTATAAAATTTTAAAACATACTTAGCATTAGACAGAATGATTTTATCCAGAGTGAACCATTTGGTAAGCCTTTTACCTATGCTTCCAAAATGAAGAATTGATCTTGTGCAGAAACTTACAGTGACTGGTGACTGGTTCGTTTACAAACCATTATTTTTCGAAGATCTACAGATAAAAACTGTGCGTTTGCTAGTCTTTGGACAATTATGGTGGGGTTACGGTGCAGGTTTTGTCCTCTGCAGTGTACAAGAGAGTGTAAGGACAGTACAACCTTGACGCTTGTAGGTTTCCAACTTTAGGAAATGCACATCCCCCGTCAGCTGTCTCTGGTGCGTAGTCTAACCTGCATTTCTTGGGCTGGTCCCATTCCCAGGATGGATCATGAGGCTGCCCAGCTGGAGAAGCAACACGTGCATGATGTGTATGAGAGCACCGCACCTTACTTCGGTGACCTGCAGAGCAAAGCCTGGCCTCGTGTCCGCCAGTTCCTCCAGGAGCAGAAACCCGGCAGCCTCATCGCTGACATAGGTAACCCAGGCTTGTGCCTTGTGGTTGGAAATATGTTCTATTGTACCTTTCCTTTTCAGATGCATTTTACATTTCTGGTCTAACCAGAAGCCTGAAATTGTGTCCTTGGCCTGCCAGTACCTAGACTATTCAACCTTATAGCAGAAATTCATCATCAAGTCAGGAAGGAGGAAACTTTCTGACATCTATATTTACACAATTGCGACCTTTTCAAGAGCCTCTGTGCACATCTTCCAACGAAACTGACCTGGCATTGAATGAATAAATCATGACTGAAATGACTGCAGGCGAAATTGACCATTTAAAATTTGGAAACATTCACATTTATAAATAACATTTGGTGGTTCACCTTTACGGGCTCTCATGTCTTCTACAGAAGAGCCAGAATTGTGGGATGATACAAGAGGTCCCCTAACCTCTTATTAGTCTCATAGATCCTTTCCCTTAATGCTTCTGTAGGTCTTTCCTTATTAGAGCCTATCTTTAATTAGATCATAGCTTCATAATCACAGATTTGTCTGGAGGACTTTGGCTCAGTACCTTTCTGAATCAAGGAGTGATAAACCACAATCCAGTAGATCTAAGAGTAAGGTGTAAGAAATGCTAGGATTCCAACTCAAGGCACAGCCACCCAAAACTGCTTTCCAGCAACCGCGTGCAGACTGTGCCCAGAAGAGTCCTACATCTGCAGTTACCAATCCCATCCGATTTGACATTTACTCTAAAACATTTACTCTAAATATTAGTAAGAGAAACAGATGTGTGTCCGTGGCTTTTAGCATACTAAAGATGGTATGAGTAGGGTGGGATCTGGGAAAGGGGAACAGTTCATGTAGAAATAGAGAGACTTTGAAAACTGTTTCTATCATGTCAACTTTTAAAAATTAACTGTGGTTTCAGAAGAACAGTGAATTTGGAGCTCTTACCACCCACAAGGTCAGCAAAGTGCCAGAATCTTAAAATCAGTTAGGAGGAAAAGGAGCCAATCCATAAGTAGCTTTGGGACAACAGTGTAATTATATGCTTTCTCATGCCTTACCCCCCAAAATCCAAATGAAGCAAAGATTTAAGTCTGAGAAAACAAAATCGTTATAGGACTAGATGACTGACTAGATCATTTTAAAAAATACCCTCAGAGGCAAAAACCTCTTCTCTGTGTAACACCAAGGAAAGTCAAAAATCATAAAAGACAATTGTCATTATTCAAGCTGTCATTATTCACAGTCCCTAGGTTAAATTGATAAAATTGCCATGAACATTAACTTCGTGAATTCTGAATTACTGTCCCTAGAGGAAATGCAGGCTCAGGTTCCTGTGAGTCTCTGGTCACAGCATTCTTGTCAATGATCAACACCTATCCTTGTTTCATGCTTCTGTCTACTTAAAGACACACCATGACTATATAGTACGGATCTTTAACACTGACCTCAAGGCCAACACACCATAACTCATGCCTGAACAGAGTTTCCTGAGCACACATATCTTGTCCATTAAGCTTGTCATCGCCATCCTGGGCTTAGGAACCCCTCACAGCGCTTGAGCCCTATGCCCAGGGACCATCCAAAACCATGACGTCACTAACACAAAGCACAAAGATGCAAAAACTGTGGCCCTAAATAGACTACGTAGAGGGTACTTGTTGATAGGATGAGAACCGAAATAAGACACGGGTCAGGCACCTCAGGCAACTCGGATTTTTCCAGACTGGTTGCTACTGTGTGAACAGGCTTGTCGGTGAACCACTGCCCAAGTATTTGAGCATTGACGTGGGCGGCGGGGGGGCGGGGGTGGGGAGTTGGTCATAGACTTTATCAAGTAGGTGAATATGCAAATATGGAACCTGTGAGTAAAGAAGATCGACTGTATCGATATCTTCGACCGTATGAAAAGTTATAAGTTCTACAAGGCAAAAATCTAGACAAATATATAAATGAAACAAAAATTTTAAATATCTACAACTTATCTGATAGAAAATTAGATAACTTTCTTAATCTACAGACATTCTTCAAAGTCAGTATGAAAGAATAAGACCAAAATTTCCCAAAAAAAAGAAAGGATAAGAACAAACAATTCAAAAAAGGAGGCATACCGATCGGGTAAGATTGTTTTGCTAGGTGATGACCTTACATGGCTCAATAACAAAGGTACCAAAGGGTATTCAGTGAAAACTACACCATCCCAGTCCTACCCATGCCAGGAAGCACAAAGGAGCCCATGCCAGAAGCAATTAGCTTCTTGTATGATCCTGAGACATTTAAGTAGAAGCTATGGGTGAATTTTCCTTTTTTGATTACACAGATGGTGGTCTGTAATATAAACTGTTACACACGTAGCTTTTGTTTCCTCTCATATATTGTGGAGATCACTCCATGTTTGTACTTCTAGAGCTGCTTCCTATTAAAACCTGCATAGCAGCCTCTGATCATAGCACCGTGTTAACCGACCTATGTTGTCTACTCTATTGTGCTACTGCAAAATATGGTGCAAATAATATTCCTTAGATGCCCCTGTGCCACTCCATAATAATATCTAGTAAATATTTCTTTACCCATTTGTAACTTTCGAATTTTGTGCTTTTACTTTTTTTTTTTACTACTCAATAAACAAATTGTACTACTTTGATTACACAATGATGGGGTTGTTGTTTTTTTGTTTTTCTTTTTTAAAGATCTTATTTACTTTTGGGCACCTGGGTGGCTCAGTGGGATAAGCCACTGCCTTCGGCTCAGGTCATGATCTCAGGGTCCTGGAATCGAGCCCCCCTGTCAGGCTCTCTGCTCAGCCTGCTTCCCCCTTTCTCTCTGCCTGCCTCTCTGCCTACTTGTGATCTCTCTCTGTCAAATAAATAAAATCTTTTAAAAAAAATAAAATAAAGATCTTATTTACTTTAGATCGAGAGAGGCATTTTCTAGGGAGAAAGAGATTGAGAGCTGGGAGAGGGACAGAGAGAGAATTCTAAGCAGACTCCAAGCCCAGCATGGAGCCCAATGTGGGGCTCGATCCCAGGACCCTGAGTTCATGACCTGAGCTGAAACCAAGAGTCAGATACTTAACTGACTGAGCCACCCATGTTTCCCAAAAGATAGATTTTAAAATAAAAGTAAAGTTAAAGAAAAAAAGAAAAGAAAGAAGACCAAGGAGATTAGAAGAAAGGAAGGTAGGACCAGGACACCTGGGTGGCTCAGTTGGTTAAGCATCTGCCTTTGGTCCAGGTCATGATCCCAGGGTCATGGGATCCAGTCCCACATTGAGCTCCTTGCCTGCTTCTCCCTCTGCCCGCTGCTCCCCCTGCTTGTGTGCTCTTTCTCTTTCTCTCTCTCTCTCTCTCTCTCTCGTTCTCCTTCTCTGACAAATAAATAAATAAAATCTAAAAAAAAAAAAAAAAGAAAGAAAGAAAAGAAAGAAAGTAAGATAATTTGACTATCCCTAAAAGGAAATGTTTTTTCTTTCCAGGTTTTCCACTTCACTAAAATCAATTGTTTGTTATGTTGGCAACTTGACCGGTCATTAGATTAGCAATTTATACATAATTACTAGTAAAACTTTGCATAAGTAATAAACATCTGGAGGTAATCGGGTTCCAGTTGCCCATGCAGTAATATCCTAGGCTGTTTTCACTATTTAGGTGGTGCAACTTTAAGTTGACTAAAATTTTATTAACCTCCTCCCCCGATTCCCCAGTGGAGCTGATTTGCTGAGATGTGGGGGAAGGGCTCCTGATGCAACCAAGTCTTCAGGGCAGGTATCAGGAATTAAGTAAGCAGGAACTAGAGTCTAAGTGAAAAGAACTTCAATGATTCAAAAACAGAAGAAATCCCAAGTCTCTCAGGAAATGCTAGGATCTGTGCAGTTGTGGCAATGCCATTACCTAAAATGGGCTAGTCACTAAGGACATTAGATGGGGCATGGAGGATGTTCTGGGGTTTGAGAGTTTTACTTAGATTAGTTTAGAAAGCAGGGGCACCTGGGTGGCTCAGTGGGTTAAAGCCTCTGCCTTCAGCTCAGGTCATGATCCCAGGGTCTTGGGATCGAGCCCCGCATCGGGCTCTCTGCTCAGCAGGGAGCCTGCTTCCTCCTCTCTCTCTCTCTCTGCCTGCCTCTCTGCCTACTTGTGATCTGTCAAATAAATAAATAAAATCTTTAAAAAAAAAAAAAAAAGATTAGTTTAGAAAGCAGGAATAAGACTGGAGCCTGATTCTTTTTGAGAAGGTTACTTTTTTACCCGACATCAGAGACAAATGTCTGTCCCAATAGTATTGAATAGTATTGCCTTTGGGGGTACATAATAAAAGTGAACTTTTCAATAATTAAGATTCCCTTTACCTCTTGGCTCTATGTTCTTATTCCCAGTCTCTGTGCTCAAATTTGATTTGCTAAGTCATTCTCTATTTGCCATTCCTTCATTGAGTCGATGAAAATGTAGACCCTCTGATTTGTGGCCAGGAACAGAATATGCCTACAGAATAAAACATATCCCTTCTTCTCTGGTTTTAAGAAATGCATAAAATGGGGGCGCCTGGGTGGCTCAGTGGGTTAAAGCCTCTGCCTTCGGCTCAGGTCATGATCCCAGGGTCCTGGGATTGAGCCCCGCATCAGGCTCTCTGCTCCACGGGGAGCCTGTTTCCTCCTCTCTCTCTCTGCCTGCCTCTCTGCCTACTTGTGATCTCTGTCAAGTAAATAAATAAAAATCTTAAAAAAAAAAAAAAGAAAAAAGTAATGTATAAAATGGGAAATAAACAGACTATATATATATATATTTTCTTCTCTTTCCCCTGGGAAAAGAGAATCCTCTTTCACATGATAGTCTTAGCAAAAAACAAACAAAAGCCTCTTAATTTAAAAAATGTTGTTGTTCCTACAAACTTGAGAGGAAACATTCAGATTAGTTATTTCTAGCAAACACTTGCGCACCATGCGCCAAAACATTTTGTGCAACTGGGGCAACTATCTGTTTTCTACTCTGAGTGTGGTGCAGAATGGAAAAAAAGAGGGAATGCAAGCCTGCAAACACTTTCTGTTAGCTCGCTTCAATACCATGGAAGGTTGTCCTTTCATGAGATTTTGTAAAGCAGCATGAGTGTTGTGTACTGGAGCTTGCCACAGTATCAGAAATGTTCTGATGTGCTTCTTGCACATTTAAGATAATGGGGTCACTAGGCTTGGCAGTATTCCCCATCTCATTAGGATAAAATCTTCCCCATTCTGGCATCCCAGTGTGTGCAGCTGGGAAATAAATATTGGCATCATATTTGGGAGATCCGCCACCATCCTTAAGGCTGAGTGCCATCGGAAATGAATCTGCAACTGGGATGCACTTGGGTGGCTCAGTTGGTTAAGGTCTGCCTTTGGCTCAGGTCGCCATCCCAGGGTCCTAGGATGGAGTTCTGCATCGGGCTCCCTGCTCAGCGGGGAGTCTGCTTCTCCCTCTCCCTCTGCTGCTCCCCTGCTTGTGCTCTCTCTCTCTGACAAATAAAATCTTAAATAAATAAATCAGTAAATATGGGATAAATCAAGGGTGCCACAGGACCCGGAAGCCTTTCAGGAGATGCTGAGATTTGAAAAGGCCCAAGTGGGTTCAGTACGCCTGATGCCTTCGGAACACCTCCCTCTAGCTTGAATGGTCCACAAACCTATTTTTGTTTTTTGTTTTTTTAATTCCGGCATCATTAATGGACAGTGTTATATTAGTTTTAGGTGTACAATGTAATGATTCAACTGTTCTATACACTGGTCAGAGCTCATCATTATACTGGGACTCTTAATCCCCTTCGTCAGTTTCACCCGTCCTCCCCCTCCCATCCCCCATAACCAGCAGTTTCTCAGGAACCTGTTCTTCCTTTGTGTCTCTGTAAGCTTCCATTTTTCTAAACATATCCCCTGAGCCAATTAAATTGAAAAAGCAAATGGATTTGCAAGACTATTTTTCTTCAACTATGACCATCATCTTTGAAATACTCAGGCTGCCATTTTAAAATACTTTGTGATTCCTATTTTCCCCATAACTCCCCTCAAATATTGGTTACTTTTTCTCATAAGCATTCTTGGGAACAGTGGTTATGAGATCTAAACTATTTCTAAGACCCCAATCGTTACACTGAAATAATCACATTGGGAATCTTATTTTTTATTCACAGGCTCACCACTGTCTCAGCTGCATTGGTGAACTTTAATTATGCTTTTAGTGTCTCATATAATTTTGAATGGCCTATTAAGAGGGAGTTATTAGAGCATTGTGACATATTTCAGAAGCAGTAAACTAAACATCCTTGAACAGTGGCAGATTTTTTTTCAGGGAGAAAAATCTAGAGCTAATTCCAGTAGGCACGAATATCAGCTCTAATGATATCTTTAAATATTTCTGGAAAAGGAATTAGCTGCTATGTCTGTGGAAATATGATACTAGGTATCAGATCCTAGAAGGCTTTGTTTCAAAATGATTGCTCACTCCTAGTACTTCCTCCTCATTGTAGTATCAGATCTGATTGGTCTAGATAAATATTGAATTCTTTGGGTCTCTGCCACCAGAAAATGAATGTTAAAAATGGTCTAAGAAGAAAGTAGTTCTAAGAGTTGCATACTGAGTCAATAGAGTTCATTTAAAACCTAGAACTGACATTAAATTGGATGAAAAGATATTGAAATTCCCTTTCCATTCAAATTCAGCATTTTTGAAAAGCATGTTTTATTGTATAAATTCTTTTATTTATAGCCAATGAAAAAAGGTTGGGTAGTAGTTTGTTTTACACAGAAAGCAAGTGGTAAGAATGTCTGGGGAGAGGAGCACCTTGGGTGGCTCAGTGAGTTAAGCATCTGCTTTGGCTCAGGTCGTGATCCCAGGGTCCTAGGATCAAACCCCACGGTGGGGCTCTCTGCTCAGGGGGGAACCTGCTTCTCCCTCTCCCTTTCTTTGCCTGCAGCTCCCTCTGCTTGTGCTCTTTCTCTCTGAATTTGTCAAATAAATAAAATAAATAAAATCTTTTAAAAAATGTCTGGAGAGATAATATGAAAATAAACACCATCACGTACAGACCTTCATAACGAAATATGTATGTGAAGGCAGCTTTTGTACAGGACTGAGCCCCACTCCTGGGGTCCTAGCAACTCTCTTCTCCTGCTGTGAGTCAGCTAACAGTCTTTGGTTGTGCTAGCACACTAAACCCTAAGGGCTCAACCTCATTAAATGTTTGATAAATATCATTTTCTTTTTCCTGATTCCTCTCCCTCTTCTATTACAAGTGAAAATCTGTAAGTGCCCTCTGAAGGTCTTTCTTTGGCTGTTGTGAGTACCTTCATGCCGTGCTCTCGTCGGTCTTGGTCCGTTAATACGAAGTTATTTCTCCCGCTTGTCATAAGAAAAACTGAATGTTCCACTTCCCAGGAAGGATGACACGTAACACAGGCTTTTCTCTTACAGGTTGTGGGACTGGAAAGTATCTGAAAGTGAACAGCCAGGTGTATGCCCTAGGCTGTGACTACTGTGGGCCATTGGTGGAGATCGCCCGGAGTAGAGGATGTGAAGTCATGGTATGTGACAACCTCCATCTCCCCTTCCGGGATCAGGGCTTGGATGCCATCATCTCCATAGGAGGTAAGGCAGCCTGGGCACACACTCCCTCTTCACCTTGAGAATGACCTTACGTGGTGGAGGCCCTTCTCGCAACTCAACATGCATTCTTTGTTGCAATGTCTATGTGATTCATGTGATCTAATTAAAAAAAAAATTTCAACTGGATTATTGGACTAATCTCAAAGGTTCTTAATGGTGGTACATGGGATCATATTAATGAGTCAAACCTTCAAACTGGTGGTGTGTTCTCTCTGATGACTCCTTCCCATTTCTTATACTTATGAGTAAGGAAGAATTAGGGGAATTTTACTCATTGAAATATTTTGTACTTTGGTATACTGAAATGAAGCCAGATTTTTCCAACATGAAGTAGAACGTTAGAAGTCATAGTACAAACTTTAGGTCACAAGTGTGTCCCGTATTAGTAAATGCTAGAAACTGATGCGCTGAAGGTCACCGGGCAGGATGTGTGGAGTAACCTACCGCTCACTGGGGCGAGGGCACTGGAGAAGATGGCCCCACCGGGTCCCGGACGGCATTGTTTTTATAAAGCCTGTCAGCCCTCTTAATGCCAGATTGTTCAGAAGCCCAGGGAATGTGTTCCTATTTTCCCAGCAAGAGTGCCATACACACACACAGGCCACAGATGAAAAGAAACAACAAAAGCCCGTACCTGAAACATAACACAGGTAAGGCTCATTTTACCCCGTGCACGTAATCCTGAAACCTAGTACATTAGTCATATTTAAATACGCCAGGGAAACGTGCAGCACTCTCTTTTTTGCAACGAGGACAATCTTTGGCCAAGCAAATCATTTGCTCCTATCCGCTTAAAAAATGAATCTGTTTTACTCTAACAAACTTCGTCAAAGCAAGGTGAGCCTACATAAAAGTAACCAGATTAAAAACTCATTGTCAGAAAAAAATACAGAGTAAGACTGCTCTCTCCTGAAGGAAATGAGGACTCCATCTGTTTGACCTTAGATGGGGACTGTATCTCTGCTTAGCGTGGGAAGGCAGGCCTGGACGCCACAGCCCAAATGTCCTTAGGACAGGCAGGAGACGGTTGCCATGGAAACCCACTCTAGGACAGCCCCGCTTATTTGCTGTTGAAACTGTGAAGTCCACTTGGGGCCTAAACATGAAGAGAAAGGATTCCTGCTACACCAAGCAACTCATTACAATGTTTTGAATCTTGAGTGGAAAGAAAGTTTTGGGGTTGTTGGTCATCTCACCTAAGGAACGAGAAATCGTGGCAGGTCAGAGAAGTGTATTCTCCACTCTTTTTGTTTGTTGGCATTAGTTTGAGAGTCTGCGAGGCTCCCTGCGTCCAAGGCCGTGCAACTGAGGCACAGGTGCGGGTGGGGGGTGGGGGTTACTGCCCAGCTTTCCTGCCTCTGGGAAACACTCCGTGCGCACACAGTTAAGCCTTTCTCAGCTCTCAACAGAAGTCTCACCCCTTGTCCGCAGGAGAAACGCAGCACACCTGGTTGCCATCTTCTGAAGAAAAATGCTTCCTTGGGTGGAAACACACCATGTATTTTAGAAACTGTAACTATAACGTGACGCGTCATTTTCAGCTGGGTTTCACATTTAGAACCATATTATGAAAAACTTTGATAGTTTGTCTCTCTTATGTCCATATATATTTACTTCCCTGTTTAGAATTCTGTATGTTGGCACTTTTTGCTAATCTTCACATGAAGAAATATATATTTTTTGCTTTTCGATGTCTCAATAATAATTTGAAAGGTAAGCATCATACCTAATGATACGTTCATTGTGTTTTATTGGCAGATTGCAAAAAGAAACACGCTTTCCACTTACTTTTAGAACAGCTTGACAAGTCTATGAAAATTTAGTGATATATTAAAACAGGGCCAATCAGCCATTTACTCTATGTCAGTGGTTCTCAACTTGGGGTGATGTTGCCCCCGCCAGCCTTAGGGGGACACCTGTCCACGTCTGGAGACATTTTCGGCTGGCTCAGTTGGATGTGTGTGTATGTACAACCTGCTGCCCTGCCCCCTAGTGGGTGGCCTCCTACAACAAAGAATTATGTAGCCTGAAATGTCAGGAGTGCTGAGATTGGAACGCCCTAGTTTATGCTAAACCTCTCGATTCTGAATGCTTCTCCACAGAGAGATGAGACCTGTACACTTGAAAGCTACATAACAATATGTCATAAAATATCAATATATAACAGGACTTTAAAGACGATCTTGTGTAACTTCCCATTTAGTTCTAGAATCCAGTAATTGAATTCAACCTGCCTATTTTCTGGGGTCTCAGCAGGAACACATTGCTATAGGATCCCTCTATTGTGTTCTTCTTGCCTTTAAGTTGTGATTATGATTGTTACAACAAAAGGGGATTTTTTTTTTATCCGTTAAAGATTCAGTATAGTTTCCTGAGATAATTCACGTAAATGTATCTTCACATCCCATTTTGGCTACGTTTATAATGTTTTAAAATAGAATATACATATGTGTATATATAATACATTTTTAATATAATGAAGTTGTAAACTTCAGTTGTAAACTTTTCCCAAAAAAATCGGCCTAATGGTTACTTAGTATTACATGTAAAATATAAACATAAAACAATATAGGAGTGCCTAGGTGGCTCAGTTGATTAAGCATCTGACCTGGGCTCAGGTCATGACCTTGGGGTCCTGGGGTCTAGCCTCATAGCAGGCTCCCTGCTCAGTGGAGAGTCTGCTTGTCCTTCTTCCTTTCCCTTGCTAGTATTCTCTCTCTCTCTCTCAAATAAATAAATAAAATCTTTAAAAAAACTAACAACAATCTAAAATATTGAGATATTTCCTGGGTGATATTATGCTATTAAAAATGAGTCATCATAGGACGCCTGGGTGGTTTAGTTGGTTAAGCAACTGCCTTCGGTTCATGTCATGATCCCAGGGTTGTGGGATCAAGTCCTGCATCAGACTCCCTGCTTAGTGGGAAGCCTGCTTCTCCCTCTGCCCGCGGCTCTCTCTCTCTCTCAAATAAATAAATAAAATCTTTAAAAAAACTAACAACAATCTAAAATATTGAGATATTTCCTGGGTGATATTATGCTATTAAAAATGAGTCATCATAGGACGCCTGGGTGGTTTAGTTGGTTAAGCAACTGCCTTCGGTTCATGTCATGATCCCAGGGTTGTGGGATCAAGTCCTGCATCAGACTCCCTGCTTAGTGGGAAGCCTGCTTCTCCCTCTGCCCGCGGCTCTCTCTCTCTCT